TCACTACTGGAACTGCACAAACTGGCCACTGATAAAAGTGACCCCCATTTGTGTGACTTCATTGAGACTCATTACCTGAATGAGCAGGTGAAATCCATCAAAGAACTGGGTGACCACGTAACCAACCTGCGCAAGATGGGGCCTCCCGAATCTGGAATGGCAGAGTATCTCTTTGACAAGCACACCTTGGGGAAACAGTGATAGTGAAAGCTAAGCCTTAGGCTGTCTTCCCATAGCCACAAGGGTGACTTCCCTGGTCACCAAGGCAGTGCATGCATGTTGGGGTTACCTTTACCTTTTCTATAAGTTGTACCAAAACATCTACTTTACTTCTTTCATTTGTACCATTCTTCAAATAAAGTAATTTGGTACCCAAAAAAATAAAAAAATAAAAAAAATAAAGAGGGCTTCCCTCCTCGTTATCTCATTTGGTTTGGTCCTGATAACAACCAGGTGAGTCAGGCGGGGAAGGGACCACTCCCCTGACCGCAGAGCAGGACACCCAGGCCCGGAGAGGTGAAGTGATTTGAGGCATTATGGAGAGAACTGTAGCTCCCGAGACGCCAAGGTACAGAGGATGGAGGAGCAGATCCCTAACCTTTAGTGTCTGATGCAGCACAGAGTAACCTCTTCCTCCACAGGGTGTCCCTAGAGGCCACGTCAGAGAAGCTCCAGGGATGGACTTCGGCCCAGCCCCGACCGCCTACCTCTTCTGTGTCTACAACACTTTCCCTCCACAGCCCCAGCGGTAAGTGTTGGCCTGTGGCTGTTGTCTAAACTACGGAACGATCCCTCCCTTTCCTCCTCTGTAAAAATGCTGGGTTGGACTCTGAGGGTAACCTTTTACTTTAAGGCTATAATTAATCTCCCCAAGTCTAATAATCCCTTCGAAAAATAATTTAACATTTTGAAATCAGGAGGTACCTTAAAGTCAATGTCCAAAGAAACTTCCCTGCTACCACTTCCTCTACCCTAGCCCTCTGAAATATTATCAGATGGATGGCATCTTTGAATTAAAGAAACCACTGAGCCCCTCAGGGCATGGGAGAGAGGAAAAAGAATTGCTGGTAGGATTCTGGCTGGGCGTTTCCAGATGACTTGGATCCCGTCACCCTTCGTTGGTGAGATAGCCCTGGACTGCTCACCTAAGTCCCAAGCCCTGGCTGAAACCTCTATGTGTGAAAAGAGCTTGACCTGAAATGCCTCAGACATACACTTAAAGCTGTGCAGCTGCAATCCCCAACCAGGTACAGACCCAGAGAATGGAAAACATGTTCACACACAAGTTTGTTCCCAAATGTTCGCAGTGATATTGTTCATAACAGCCCCAAAGTGGAAACAACCCAAATGTCCAGAACTGATGAACGGATAAACAAAATGCACAAATTATTAGGTTGTTTTGGTAGACATTATGGGATAGTGAGAGCCAGCTGCCCCCCACCCCGACAACTTCACACACGTTTCAGATCCAATTCCACCACATCTTGGGCATTTATTAGACACACTTTTATCAGTGAGTAGACATAAAATCTGTCCTGAAAGCTAATCACAGCTCTGTCCTTTCAGGGGCTCTAATCAGACCTGGCATGGCTTGTTCTAGGGAACTCTGTGATCTAGAAGCAGAACTGAGTTAACCCTAAGGCTTCAGGTAAATCAAATTCTTTGACATCATAGCTGGACACAGGACCATGTTAGAATGTAGCCTCAGGAACCATCCAGAAAGGCAAAATGAACAGAACTCAAATGTGGTATATCCATGCAAGGAATATCATTTGGCCATAAAAAGGAAGGAAATCCTGACACCTGCTACAACACGGATGAACCTTGATAACCATATGAGAAGTAAAGGAAGTCAGTCACATAAGACCACATATTGCAAGATTCCAGAATTGGAAGATCCACAGAGACGGAAAGTAGGTTAGTGGTTGCAGGGGTTGTGGGGAGGGGGAATGGGAGTCCATGTAAATGGGCATGGGGTTTCTTTTGGGGGTGATGAAAATGGTTGCCTAACTCTGTGTATATATTAAAAATCACTGAATTATACATTTTAAAATAGTGAATTTTATGGTGTATAAATTGTATCTCAACAAAAATTTTTTAAAAATAAAAAAGTTGTGTAAAGAACTGTATAAGTTATAGTTCAATTAAAAAGAATAGTAAAGGGGGAGAGGGCTTTAGCAGCTTCCCTTTTTGACTCTGGAAAACTGGTCAGAGGACAGAAGACACTCCTGTGAAGCCACAGTCTCTCAGGTTCCAAAGCTTCCTGTGGAGAGACCTGCAGAATCTGGAAAGACCCCACATTATATCTCAAGGCATCTGACATCCTTAGGTCCTCCCGAAGAGAGCACACTTAGTGACACATGAATCCATCCTAACATAGCTGAAGAGCTGTCATGAGACACAGGGATTGGGCTTCCGAGTGACTCCAGTGGGCAGTCAGGACCAGTGGATGGAATGACAAGAAGGCAGTCTGGTCAATAAGAAGAAAGACTCCCGAGGGATTGGAGCCATCTGAATACGGCATCAATGCCCAATCTGGGCTGCATTCAAGCCAGGATGGAGAAGCACCTCTGGGACCCTGTGTATTCATGTATTCCCCTAGCAGGGGACTGGATGTTCCAACTGTGACATCATAAGAGTCTATATGAAGGGGGAGGGAGGAAAACTGGAAAAAGGAAGCTGTGAAAAGAGAGAGTCAAGAGAGGGATGTGGCCAGAATTTGTGACAGAGGCATCACTGTGAGGCAGCTCCCTCTCAGCTGGAGGTGCTGGTTTCTTAGCAGGGGGGCGATGAGATGAGGAAGGCAGAGCCGTTAGCAGACTCAGACTACAGACTGACCCTGTTTGAGGAGAAAAGTTGTTCAAAGTCAAACCCTCAAATACTATCAGAAAGTCTCGTGTAGTGATTACGTGTCAGGTCTCTGGGTTCAGCTGGTCCTGGGTTCAAATCCTGATTCGCTATGTGATCTTGGGCAAGACATTAAGATCTCTGGACTGGCGTTTACTGTTTTGTTTTGTTTTGTTTTTAAGGAATAATGATAGGACCTACCTCATGACTTTGTTCTGAGGTTTGAATGAAATAAGGTAAATGAAATCCTCAGCCCTAATATATATTAACAGTAGCTGTTGTAAACTGACCTAAACAAATTTAATTATGCACAAATTATTAGATTGTTTTGGTAGACATTATGGGATAATGAGAGCCAGCTGCCCCCCCCCTACAGCTTCACACACATTTCAGATCCAATTCCACCACATCTTGGGCATTTATTAGACACACTTTTATCAATGGGTAGACATAAAATCTGTCCTGAAAGCTAATCACAGCTCTGTCCTTTCAGGGGCTCTAATCAGACCTGGCATGGCTTGTTCCAGGGAACTCCATGATCTAGAAGCAGAATTAAGTTAACCCTAAGGCTTCAGGTAAATCAAATTCTTTGACATCATAGCTGGACACAGGACCATGTTAGAATGTACCCTCAGGAACCGTCCAGAAAGGCAAAAGGAACAGAACTCAAAAAAATTTTTTTTCCTACTGTGCAAGGATGGGGAGCAACTGTAAACTATCTTAGTCAATGTGCAGATCTTCCATACCACTGATTTTATTTTTTAAAGATTTTATTTATTTATTTATTTGAGAGACAGAAAGTGAGCGAGAGAGCACAAGCAGGGGGAGCTGCTGAGGGAGAGGGAGAAGCAGGCTCCCCGCTGAGCAGGGAACCCCACGTGGGGCTTAATCCCAGGACCCTGATATCATGACCTGACCTGAAAGCAGATGCTTAACCGAATGAGCCACCCAGGCGCCCCAATATAACACTGATTTTAATGATGAAAACTTATTTCTAACTGGGTTTATTAACAAGCCACATTTTTCTCCCAGTGAATACCTAATACATTTATTGAGCTAATTACAATGTTCTGGTACTAATGGGAGATATTAATGGCTGATGCCCCCACAGCAGCAGTGAATATTTGATTAAATACTAGCCAGCCACTCCTGTATATTCTCCATTAAGGCACTGACCTTCCCTAGAGCACAGTTTAAATGAGCACATAAATACTAATCACATTGTAGACCACGGACATCTGAGAGCTGATTGCATTTCTCCAGCGCCCTGGTATTTCTGAAATAGAGACTTGTTTTAGTAAGAGCTAACCACCTAGGTGGTGGAATGCCTCCTATAAGCCAGTCATTCCTTTAAATCCTTTAGCTCATTTAGATTCTCACAGCAACCCTTTGAGGTGTGGGCCATGACTCCCACTTCATCAAAGAGGAAACTGAGCTTCAAAGTCAGGGAGCTATAGAGTATTTGGCAGAAATAGGGTGAAGAAAAAAGAAATAGGAATCTTGCTCCCTGTAAATATGGTCCTTATCTTAGATGAGGAGCAAGAAGGAAGGTTAAGTAAGTCCACCAAGCCTGGCAGAGAGCCTTCCCTTAGTAAAAAGAACCACTCATCCTGTCACATAATCTAGCACATCTCCTTTACCTCCATTTGAGTGTAAATTTCATACTTTCAATTGACTGCAGAGAGATGCACTCTCTTCCCACTGCCTGGCTGAGGACCTCCAGGGTCTGTTCTTGCTGCCCTGTCCACACCCAATCCCAGACCACCTCCATCTAGAATTACAGCAAGCCAAGGGCTAGGGTTACTGCACTTAGCACTGAAAGGCTGCCTCATTCCAGCCTTTTAGAGCCAGGCAGCTAATCACTCATCACTTGCCAGTTGGCTGGTGTATTTGGGGCTTGCTTTGTTTCTACCAGGGCTGAAAACAAGCAAAGAGTGAGTGGCCATCAGGAATGGAACAGGCTGAGCAGGGCTGGAAGATATGAGTGACATGGGAATTCGGAGAACCAACATCCCCAGGGTGTTAGGGTTTGTGGGCAGGTGTGAGTGTCTCCACAACTGACATTGTGCATGTGACTAAGGGCCTGCCTGCACTCATTGTCCTGGGATTACTGAGAGCCTACTATGTGCAAGGCATTTTTAAATGGGAATGTCAACACAGTTCCTGTCTTTAAGGGGAGCCCTTTAGTAGGGAGATAAGTGTCCTAATTTACCCCCCCAATTCTCCCTCTCCTCTTTCAGTTTTCATGAAAGATACTCCCATTCACCTTCTCTCCTAGCCTTAGAACCAGAAGTCACCCCGGAGTCTCCCCCCTCCTTCACCGCTTACATCTGATAAACTGTCACATCTTATAA